TTTTCTCCATGAATTCTGGAGGCTTCTTTCCTTTTGCCTGCTATTGACTTCATTGTCTCAGTGGCATAGATACTCATTCCTCTTGCCACTCATGGAAAGAGAGATTCCTGATCGGTTGAGATTTGAGGGTACCCATTAAAATTCCTTTGATCTCCAGAGACTGTAGACTCCCCTATACTCATATCTAGTTATTGATTTGTAACTGACAGTTAGTTCTGCACAATTTGGTTTCCTGTCTACATTTCAGTAGCTTACACTGTTGTGGAAATCTCCCAAGCTCTCCTCTGGAGAAGGGACTTTCTGACTGCCCCCAGGAGCTGCTGCACTTAGGACAACCTAAGAATCTCCCGAGACTCGACACTGTGCTGCGTCTCCCAGTATCTTTATGAATAAGTGGGAGGAAGTTCCTTTCTGCTTTTTTCTTTTTAAAAAATAATTACTTGCTTTTATTTTATGTGTGTGCATGAATGCTTGCACATATATATGTGTACCACAGGTATTCCAGAGGCCAGATGAGGGCTGTGAATCCCTTGGAAATGGAGTTATAGTGGTTGTGAGTCTCCATGGAGGTGCTAGGAACTGAACCCAGGTCTTCTGCAAGAGTAGGCTCTGCTTTGAGCTACTGAGCCATCTCTCCATCCCCTGCATTTTCTTTAACAAAGTAAAACAGCAAAAACTGTTGTTGTTTAGAGAGCACATTTTTAAAAGATTTCATCTTTTTTAGTAAAACTAGTTTAAAATTTATTTTAATTAGAAGTAGATCACTAGTGTTTGTGTCTTAAGTAGGGGGAGGACAGATTTAAAACTGTCTGTTGTGGTCACTGGCACATTCCTAACTTCTCCAGATTCCTTACACTGAGAATTCCTATGAAAGATAGAAAACTGAGTATGGAGTGTATGTGACATTCAGTTATGAGTCACTGGGCCTTTTCAAAAGCGTGTCCACATTTCAAGATAACTGATGTGTGATTTATCATTCTGTGGAAGATTTGCCTTCAAGTTTGAAGCAGGGACATCACTGGAAAACTGGATTTGTTTTCTGAGACCCTTTTTTATATTGAAATTCTAGGTTTGTGCATCCACACCCGGCTTCTTGGTGCTGGGGAACCCAACTCAAGGGTTCTGCATGCCCTGAAAGCAGCCCGGCAACTAAGCTACATCCCAGACTCATCCCCCCCCCACACACAGATTTTTCTCCTCAGTGACTTGAGGAAAAAAGAATCACCACCTTCGTTTCTTTATTGTTTTGGTGCATATGCTAAGAACTGTGTACAAATTGAGATGTCTGTGCACTGGTCTTCAGCATAGCCAGTCAAGTCTCAGTTATGAGAGAAATGCCAGTTCTGAGTGGACTCCTGCCTGTCGTAGGACAGTTCCTTTGCTAAGGGATGTTACTACAACCTGAAAATGAAATACCCATCACTTCTCTACCCCTCTGAGACAACCGCCCTCTCCCTTATAAGGTGCACAACTGGTATCATCTTCCAACTTTGTTGTTTGCATACAACGTTGAGACTCAAAGAAAACACTGCCGGCAAGCCGTTCCCCTTGTGAGTGCTGTGGCTCTTCATGCTCAGAAGTGTACCGTTTGGATTTTCTGTCAGCACGCGGAGTCACCTGGAGCCTCACGCTGCTGGGGCATTTTGCTTGAGTTTTTCCACATTTAGAAAAGCTTCACAATTTACATAAAAACCTGTCCTTCATTCATTTTCATTCAGTGTTTCTCCTTTTAGTCCCAGGAATTGCCTAAAATAAGCAGTCCCTTTTCTGGAAGATTACTAGTTATTTCTGGTTTTGATTTGATATATGCATTTCTCGTTGCTGCTTTCAAGACATGCAGCTTTGTTTTTCATTTGATGTGCTTTAGAGAAGAGAGAGAGGAGAATGTTCTCTCAGATGCCTGCAGGCCTGCATCCTTTGTGTCTTCCTCCTTTGTCTTCAGTTGTTCAAGAGTTTCTCTGCAGGGGTCCTTACCCCCAGCACCCAAGCTCACCCCAAGAGGAAAGCGGTGCTTTACTTGGGACCCATGGCTGGTCTAAAAGTTTTTCTCTTAGATTCAGTTAATGTTGTTTTTGGAACTCAAGTATTAAAATCTATTTGTTTATAAAAATTGTGACCACCTAAATAAGCTTCATTGTGGGATTCCTGGCAAAGCAAACAGCAGTTAAACTATTCAGTTACACTGGGTCACCTGGCGTTGTGAGCCACAACACTGTGCTAGGATGCACGCTGTAGCTCCTTGTTGGCAGCTGTGGAGGGGAGACGGAGCGGGTACTGGACCTGGCCGCTGTTCATTACTGATGTTCTCAGATATCTTGATTCCATTCGCTGTTTCTTAGAAGTGAACACCAGAACTTTGTGTAGTTGGGGATCTTTATTTCTTTATTCAGAGGTAACCTCTGAATGAGACAGACAAAGAAAAGAGGATATAGGAGGCCAAGTCTAAGGAGGTGGGTCATTATTGGTTCAAGCTGTCTTTTCGTCCTCTCCTCTCCCCCACGTTTGCCTGCTGTTCTGGGACTGGCTCATCATCCTCTACATTGCTTTTCTTTCGGCAGATTTGGGTTACATTTGCTTGTGGAAGGCTGGTTGTTTATTCCGGTTTCCTCCTACGATGCTGTTGACTTAAGTCAGCTGTCAGAGCCATTGGCAATCGATTCTGTCCACTTGTATTTTGAGTTTGTTGTTGATGTAAGTGACCAGGGTGAGAGTTGGTGGTCAAGTTTGGAGACTTAAAGCCTTGTTGTAGCTGTAGTTTCCCCAGCATTATTTTTAAATCATGTTTGAATTTTGGGTTTGGGTTACAGTCCTATTTATTCCAAATATCCTTATAGGGGTTATTGGTTAGCATTTTCTTTATTGCTTCATTAATCCATTCTGTTGTAACACTATATACTATTTTATTTAAAATATTTGCAGTATGATTCTAGTTTTTACTTTATGCCATCATTGGTTTTCTATTACTATAAAATGTGTTTTTTTCCTTGTTATTTGTTTGTGTTTTGAGATACTGTCTCAGAGGTAATCATCCCTTCCTCTGTCTCCCGAGTGCTTAGAATCCAGATGTGCACCACCGTCTGTCTCTAATTTAAATTCTTGATTTCCATGTTTAGCTCATTTGGTTTCAGTTTTCATCTTTTATATGGATATTTAAAGTTAATTTTTTTCTATATTAGTTCCCTCATTATTTACTTAAAATACACATCCTAATCTCCATTGTGGCTCTTCTGTTCCCCAGACAATATAGAAGCATGTCTCACATATCCACCCAGAAGAGATCCTATTGTGTTTTTTTTTTTTTTTTTTTTGAGACAGGGTTTCTCTGTAGTGTTTTGGAGACTGTCCTGGAACTAGCTCTGTAGACCAGGCTGGCCTCGAACTCACAGAGATCCGCCTGCCTCTGCCTCCCAAATCCTGGGATTAAAGGCATGCGCCACCAATACCCGGCGTCTATTGTGTTTCTTAAGAGATGTTTCTAATCTCTCCATTGCTAGAGAAAATGACTGGTCTTACTTATTCTCCTGGGTACTTTTTATGAGTGGCCAGTGGTGCTTGAAAAAAGTGTGTGACGACACAGCCGTATAGCAGGTGCGAGTGACTCATAGAGTTACTTCCTCCTTATTTGCTTGGTCAATGAATTTCCAGAAGAGAGTCTGTATTTGTATAGTAACAGCTACCTCTTATATGGTACTTCCTGTATCCCAGGTACTAATTTAAGGTCCCCCCATATATTAACTTAATTATGTGTTGGCCATTTTTCTCTTAAAGGTCTATTATTTGTATTCTCTATATTTTGAGACTTGATACATTTATTACTGGATACATAACAGCTGGTGAAGTGACTTGGGTCATTTATCATTACCCTTTGACCCCCTTTCTCTTTAACCTTTTCCTGGATTGATATGATTGCATGGACTTCTTTTACAGTTTGCCTGATGTAGCCCTTTTTTTCCCATTTTGTGTGTCTTTTTGTTTGAGACATGCATGATTTTAGTTCTTATCTAGTTTTATTTGTAAGTGACAGTAGAGTGTGATGGTTAGAAGCTAAACTTTGACATGAGATTGGCTTTTCATCCAGGTCCTCCAGTGGAAAGGTAGCAGGTGATCAAGTTCTCATTTTCAATAGGCTGTTGTTACCTTTGCAGAGTCACATGACACAGCCAGCCCCTTCATATGTTCCTAGCTAGTTTTTACTGTAGCACTTACTTTGTTGTTGTAAACACAGGGTCTCACCTGTAGCTCTGACTGTTCTAGAACTCACTATGTAGACCAGGCTGGTTCATCACAGATATTCTGCTACCTGTGTGTCTGTTGGGTTTGAAGGCATGTGCCACCACACCTGGGTAGCATCTACTTTTGATCTCTTGAAAATGCATTAAGTATTTCTACAATGGACATAGTAAGACTGCTTATCTTACAGGACTCTTTCAAGTTGAGCATAAGTTAGTAGAAGATCAGAACGTGGTGCCATGTCCGGCACAGTAAATACTCACAATGATGAGTCCTTCTGATATCCCGTTGATGTTGTTACTCTGATGGTTGGTGCTCTGGCCTGCCTTGACTCTGTCCACCTTGACTCTGTTCAGCCTTTTAAATGTCCAATTTTTTTTGTTGTTACTGTCGTTGTTCAGGTGACTTGGGAAAACAACTTAGATGCCTCTCAGTCCTAATCCTGCCTGTCTGAAGTAGAATTCAATGGAATTTCTAAATCATTCCTTAGCAGGAATATATATTATTAAGCTTGATAAGCTCAGGACCTAGTATGTATGATTTTGGGAGTCTGGGGAGATGACTCAATAATTTTTTTATATTGAAAGTAATCCATAATCAGATGATTGAACAATCTAAATTACTCTAAAGTCAGAGACATAGGAGTCTTAAAGGCTCCTGTGTGAGGAGTCCACAGAATTATTGGTACTAATGTGTTGACCTGTGCCTTCTTTGTTCAGTCATACATGTTTCTCACTTGTTTGCTAACACGAATTAATTGTTTTTAACAGGAAGGAAAAGCTGATGCGTTGTTCTCAATGCCGAATTGCCAAGTACTGCAGTGCCAAGTGTCAGGTAAGACGACTGAGCTGTTGAGTGACAGCTCCAAGCCCTCCACCTGTGCACGGGCTCTGTTACAGCCGAGGGTCTTCTTCAATCTTTTTAAAAACAAGGACAAAATGGTGATTTTTTTCTTTTTGCTTGTTATTGTCTTTCAGTTTTAAATTTACTATTTGTGCAGTTTGAATAGGCTTTGTCAAGGAAGCAGGGAAGGAGGGAGGGAGGGAGGGAGGGAGGAAGAGATAGAGATAGAGATAGAGACAGACATGCTTCTGCTAGGGCAAGTAGTCAAAGCCAGGTAGCAGTAACCACATCTATCCCAACACAATCTTCTAGTCACTCTTTTAGCTATGAATTCAGTGGATTATTTCACTGGGGACATCCGTGCCTTCATTATCCAGTCACCCACCAGGAATGCCAGCTGGGGGTCCAGCCTTTACTTTACTGCCCATGCATTCAGTGGCTCATTTCAGTTTTAAACCACATGCCATTGTTAAGGTTTTTGTATTTGAAGATCCATTTATGCTTATAGAAATAGATACAGGTTGCTTTGGCTCAGGTTCTTCTATGTCTTGATTTTCTCTTTCATATTTAGAAACCATTTTATATTGTTCATATATATACATATATATATACACATATATGTATTCACATACGTATATGCAATATATACATGTACACAAACATATAGGTATATTTACCATGATCATAATTTTCTCATTAATGAATGTTTAGATTTTCTCCCAAACTTGGTATTGTTAATATATTATTTTTGTAGTTTTTGTATACTTCTAAAAATTATTTTCATGATAAATTTCTAATCATTTGTCTTAGCGGAAGGATGTATGCATTTTGAATTTTTAAAAATAATGCCAAATTGCATTTCTAAAGATTAAATTAATTTGTAATGAATATGGTTATTAATATCTTTGGAATTCTTTTAAGGATGTATAATTAGCATTCAGCATGACCTTTTCTTCAAATATTTTGATTAGTCATTTAACAAGAGGTATAGTTATGTGCTAGTGAAATTAAAAAGTCCAATTGAAACGTTTGTGTTTATGCCATCTCCCATTCACATTTGGGATGTGTGTGCATGCTGGTGTGTTTTCGTGCACAAGCCCTCACGTGAAGTTCTTCTGTCTTCCTTTTGAGTCTAGACCATTGTTCTCAGGGGTTCCTCTGCCTTCTCATTTGCACTGTTGAAATTAGTCTCTTCAGAGTGCAAATAAAATTATCTCAATGGAAGAAACCCCAAGGGCTCCAGGTTCCAATGGCACTTCTGCCACTTTCTGGTTAGATTATTTCATAGGATACACAAAGGCTGGCTTCAGTTTCTGAGCCTGCACTGATGAGAGCTAGTATTTGTAACACGAATTAATAGAAGACACAAAGACTGATATTGGGGTTCGAACTTCATTCTGATGATCAGAAAAGCAAAGCAGTTGGCCACTAGCTCTCACCTCTAGCTCAGGCTGAAAGATGTGATCCACACATGAGTTCTTTACTAAGTCTCAGAATGCTGCCTCTCCTTAGTGTGGCTGGAGAACAAATGCCTCTGAGTGACTCTGTTCTTGTCTTAAATACCTCTAATAGCTCCTGGGATTAAAGGCATGAGCTCTGTTAGTCTTTTAGACTGATTCAATCTTGTATTCGCCTGGGTGGCTTTGAACTCATAGAGATCCATCTGCCTTTGTCTCCAGAGTCCTGGGATTAAAGGTGTGTGCCGCCACTGCCTGACCTCTATAGCTTGTGGCTGTCTTTGCTTTCTTAATCTTCTGGCAAGTTTTATTGAATCATAAATAATTTTTCACTAAAATTCCTCCTTTTTTTGTCTAATACAAAAAGAAGGCTACAACTAACATAAGACAAACTATATACAGTAAGTACAATAATTGTATACAATATATACATTCCATAATTACATCAACAATGTCTAGTGAATTTGCATTTGACAAATTCAGAGAAAATACTTCATTATCTATTCTATGGCTGCAGAACTGGGTGAGTCAGAGACCTCTATCAACCAATATTTGTTAGATATCTTCTGGGTGCTAGATTCTGGGAGCTAGTGTTTGTTAGGTGTCTTCTGTATGCTAGGTGCTGAGAGCTAATATTTGTTAGGTATCTGCTGGGTGCTAGGTACTGCTGAGAGCTAATATTTGTTAGGTATCTGCTGCGTGCTAGGTGCTGTTTTATTCTATTTAACTTTTTAGAATCTTGTGTAATTTGGCTACTGTTACCATGCTTAATTAGCAGTAAGGGATATGTGAAGAAGAGCAAGTGAATTGTCACATATCTCATAGCTGATAATTGACACCATGAATTTGGGGAAATAAATGTACGTATTAATAACACGTGTCCAGATTTTATGCTTAACTTCTAAATGTAAATTTTATTCTTGCTATAACATTCTGATTTCATCTGCTTTTCTTTTATCTGTTGCATTTGACCTTTGCTTCTTGGCTAATTATTTTCATTCTAATGCCTGGTACATGCCCAGAAAGATCTTTACCTCTTTTATCCCCTACACTATCTTATTTTGTTTTTAAAAGACACAAAAAGAAACAATTTACAATAGAAATCAAGAGCTGGGGGGACCGTTCAGTGGGTAAAGTGTGTGCTGGCCATGCATAAGACCCAGGTTTAGATCATCACATATGACAGTACATGCCTGTAACCCCAAACTTTGTTGGATTGGAGACAGCTTTCGGAGCAGAGACAGGCAGATCTCTGAAGTTCAATAGTCAGCAAGCCTAGCTGAATCCATGAACTTCCAATTCAGCGAGAGATGTACCTCCAAAAATGAAGGTGGAGAGCGATCAAGGAAAGATGTTCTATGTCAGTGTTTCCCCTCCCCACATATGTACACATACATGCATGCATGTCTTTACACCAACAGGCACACACAGGCATAGGAACAGTATGACACACACAGGTAGAAGTCTAAAGCTTCAACATTTTCCTGATAAGATATGAATTGTTAAAAACAATTTTTATTTTCATCTCTTTTTTACACCAAATATTTTGTCAAAGTGAGATCTAAGATTTCTTCTATAAGATCATTAACAATAACTATAATAAAAAGCAGAGAGAGAGAAAGAGAGAGAGAGAACAAACACATGCCTTTTCCACAAGATAAGTCATTAAAAATATATTTTATGATGATATTTCAGCCACCCCACTCCCTATAAATTTGGGCTCCATGTTTCCCCAAATGTCTGGTCAGATGGAATGCATATAGAAATGAATTAACAAACTATTTAGCACACATCTTTTGGAAACATCATTTCTAATCTCAATGGCCTAAGCTTCCGCCGCCAATTTTACAAATGTATTTTCTTCAAGGCTACTTTCTGCAGCTGTAATAATACATAGAGAAAAGAAAAAGCCATTATCTGATTAGAACAAGTAGAGGGAGTTTGGCAAGTAGGTATGCCACTATGATTCATTGTAGTGTATATATTTTATTACGTGTATTACTTTTTCACTGAGGCATCAATAGCAATGTCATTGTTAGGTATAATGTGTAAGGCAATAGGAAAATAGCCAGTAAGATGAAGTATATATGTTGCTAGTTTGAGTACATGTTTTTAGATGTATGTATGTAGGGGATGTTGGGTGGGTGAGAAAGTGGGAGTCAAGGATTGGCCAGAACATATACATTTAAACTGCTCTAGTAAACCTCACCTTAAGGTACAGAGCTAAACGTTGGAATTATTATGGATGCACAAAGCTGCAGAAAATTAAACTGGCAAACTGGACAATGAGGACGATGAGCAGTAATGAAGAGGAAGTAAAAGCACGTGGAATGAAAACTGATGTAGAGATTGTGACTCTGTAGCAAAAAAAAAAAAAAAAATATGTTTGCCTGAGAGGGAAATGACTTTGGTCCAGTAAGTTGGGTCTTTTATTTAGGTCCATGGTATTAACAAGTTGTCTGCGAAAGATTTTGGGGATAGTTTTAAGAATGTAACATATTCTTTCTGCTGAAAGGGTGCTATCATTGTCATCAGCACTCAGTTTTAATTTTTAAACATAAGTAACATCAGAACATATTTTCAGTATAAAAATTAAGATAATGTAGAATTATAGAGGATTAAAACAATGGAAATTTCCTCTAGATTTCTCTCCTTTTTTAAAATATAATTTGTGTTTCTTTTTGTGTTTGCAGTAGGACACAAGACAACTGTTCCTCCATGTTTCCTATATATTCAGCCAGTCAGTATACTCACTCATATACTGCTTTGTACAATATTGTTTCTGACACTGACAAGATTGTTTTTTCATTGGTAACTTTAAGCTCCTGCCTGTGTCTTGTTGTGGGACATCCATCGATTTATTTCCTAGTGTGAGAACAGGTCTCCATATTGGCATAATGGAACATCAAAGTTGATTCTGAGATTGAAAAGGAGAAATAGGCTGTTTCTTCATCAAGAAATATTCAAAATGTAAAAACTAATAGCCATGTTGATAGCTTTTAGTTTGTCTTGCGATATTTGCATTTCTAATTGACCTCATTACTGAACAAAGCACATGACCAGATTCTAGATCAAATTTCATATTATGAGCTTTTGAAAAGTGTTATGTTTGCAGAGAGAGGTTTGTTTCATATTAGCAATTATGTATCTCTTCTCATACACGAATCATATTTGGGGCCTGTATTTCGTGCGTAGTTATCAAATGATTTATTTTTATGGTGGGGAACTAATTCTTCATCAGTAAGCATTTCACAGGGTGATTTTATCAGTTATTTTCTGGAACACCATACTCAATGGATGTAATGAAGAAAGCTAACCCTTTTGATTATTTCAGGAATAGCTGTGTTTCAGGCCTCAGACTGATAGGAATTGCAGTTTTATTTTTAATCCATCCTGACTGTCTCTTTTAACTGTGCGTCGAGACTAATGGCACTCAGAATGATTCCTGTTATTAATATCCATCATATCTGTTACTGCTTTCTGTTTCTTTTCCTGTTTTTTTTTATTTTAGAAACACTCTTATTTACATATCAA